AGAAAGTGCACTAGAACTCAGTGGCTTTTGAAGCCTGTGTGAGCTCCCAGTGGCTGTGGCGTGGGCTTGGACGACTTTATCAGGTGTAACAAAGTCATATCCATCAAAAGCTGCTGGAGGAGCCAGCAAATGCTATTCAGCAGCATGTCCACTTCCCATCAACATGCCATGAATCTCCCTCCTTGCTCCTTTGGCTGACTGAGAGCCCAGCAAGTCTGTGGCCCTTTTCCATGGCTTGATTTTCAATTAAGAGATAATGTCAGTGGAAGAGCACAGTTCATCAGACGTCCTTGTTGCAGAAGGCAGAGATGTGGCGAGCAGAGGTCAACTGCTCAAAATCTACATGCCTGGCTAAAATATTGTATAATATGTTCGCTAATTTTACTTCATTTTATATTCACATATATTAGTGCAGCTTTTGTTATATTCTTATCCTTATGTAAGTTACATCTGTTCTTTTATTCACTCATCCATGTTTGCTCTGCTTTCAGATTTATGAAACAGGCATTCCACTGAGCTCAGCAAATGATGGGCATAATAACTTATCTAAATTGCAAAGTATGTGATGCCCTTGAGGTAAACTCAGTTGTGAAGGTTTTATGAAGTGTCTCACATGTGGAAGTGGAGGAAAGTGTTTATTTGCCAACTCCTGTCTCTCCTTTGGCTGTTCAAATGATGTTAAGAGGATCCTGTGAAACTGCTACAAAAGCCTGGGGGCTAAATGGAGGGGAGAAGTAGAGCTGCAGTATTATCTTGGTAGAGGAAGCAAAGCCATCCTGGCACTTCCACTTACACAGCTCTTCCCTCGTTGGATGTCAAAAGTTTCTGGTTGGCAGGCTCTGAAGTATCTATTTATTTAATGAAATGCCTCTCACTGTAACAATATTGTGAGGCTTTATTAATGAATTTATGGTTAGGAGATAGGAAAGTAATATCTTTTTTCTTTCTTTCTTTTTTTTTTTTTTTTTTTTTTTTTTTTTTTTTCACAACACTGCAGAGGGGCAAAGGCTCTGTAGAGGAAAGGGGTGCTGTTTTACTTATCTGAGATACTCTAACCACCTCTGCCTTCCTGTGGCTGCTGTAAAGGCCTTCATTGACCATGCAGAGTCCTGATTCCTTGAGTTATTCAGCTTTACTGCCAGTCCCAGCACTGATGTGCTATTTGGGGAGTGTCTCCCTCTGCTTAATTCTCAGTGTCTGGAGTTTTGTGGGACAGAGCTGAGTTATCATCTTAATTTCCCTCAAAATCTCTTGGAGTTTCCTGTTCATTACTGCTGAGCCTCGTGCATCAGAGATCATTGCTTAAACCACTGGGCTAAATAATTCTTGCTAAAATAATAAATTCAACTATAATTTGAATTAAAAAGAGAATTTACACTTTAAAGTCTAGTAAGCAGAAATACATTTCTACTTTTCTTGACTGGTGAAGACTTAAGCCCCTTTTAGAAAGAGGGTTTGATTCTTTTTTCCTTCATGTTTCCTATTGGCAATTTTAGGTGGGATTCCCATGCATAAGAGGGAGCTTCAGAGAAGTTCATTCTCATGCAATGCTGAAGTTGTGATATTTAAATACCTTCAAGGCTCAATTTACAACGTATTTTGGACAGAGCCAGTAACCAAGAAAAATAATTCTAAGCCTTAGTATGTTCCCTCAAATCCTCTGTGAGCCCAGTGGTCTGGCCAGAAGCAAGTTGAGTTTGGGAATTTCTGGCACCTATAAAAAGAAGGAAGTGGGTAAATCTATCTTAGGAGTGTCCATATTCCTGAAGTAGGCTGTGACTCAGTCCCTCCACTAATTGCTGGAAAGCTTTGAGGGTGTCTGTTTCCCTCAATTGCTGGTCAAATTTTATCCAGGGGACTGTGAGCAGAAGTGTCAGTAAAATTCTGCAGAATAGGGACATTGGGAGACTGACCAGACCCATTTTCCCTGACTCTGAGGCACTCCTCAGGGATCCCTAGGATGTGGATAAAGGCTCTGTGGGAGGATGTTTCTCCCTCTCCCAAGGCAATTTGGGCTTTCCTGGGTCAGTTCTCCTCATGGCTGCAGGCACAGCCTGGTAGCACTGAGAGAAGCACCTTCCATGCTCTGATCTCTTTTTTCCCAGCTAATTATGAAGTAATTTTTCATTTGCTGGTGTTTAAGCTCACAAAATAATTAGCCCATTTGATAAATTAGCTGGCTTAAAAACGTAAATCTGTCAGTGAATTGGATGAGCAGTGCAGCACCCAAACCACTTGAAGCTACAGATCTATTGCTACTTTGTCAGTCCTGTAAATTCAAAATTGTTCAGATTAATTCCAAGCTAATTTCATAAACCCTCCACTATGACAAGAGGAAAAGTGTTTGGGTGTCAGGCTTTGTGCCCTTTGATATCAGATTTCAGCCTGAATGAATTTTTTATGGCTGACTCTGGAATATAAAACCCTGAAAACAATGGTTTGTAATGGCAATTCTGACAGACCCTTTAACCATTTGGAAAATAGGCCCTGCTATAACCCTGCTGCATTAGAGAAAACTGTTGAGTGCTTTCATTAGGTGCAACAGCTGTTTCTATTGCAAAAGCCAAACTTCACTGGTGGGAGCATAGCTGTCAGCTTTCCAGAGCTTTGCATTTATAGCTTTGCATTTATTGTGTAAACTCCTTTATGTTCTGTTTTTTGCTTTCCAATATATGTAAATTCATTCAATAGCAAAAATACAAATAACTACCTTGAAACTAGATGTGTGTGAAGGTTCTTTGCAGGCTCCTGCAATCAGTGTCCTGTGATGAGGGAGCTGAGAAATCCTGAAATTTTGGAAATGGTTCTAGCTCAAGTGATGTGGTAATCCACACCACAGAAAATTTTAATCACCAGATTTAATCCTCCTCCTTGGTAATGTGTTAGATACCTTTAAACTAATGTAAAATTCTTAATTAGAGCTGATTTAAAAAACAACAACCACAAACCACCAAAAAATCCAACAAATCTCTCTCCCCCCGAGCTCCCTGAGTGTTCTCCTGTCTCTTCTATTTAAACAGAATTTTTTCCTAAGAACATGCTGAATATGCTGAAATGCATTTTTTTTTGGAAAAAAGTAAAGTTGATGATGCTTTTCATTTCTTTGTTCTGACATAATGCAGAAAAATATTTTAGTATTATGAAACAAACAGTGAGTTCTGCCTGGAACAAGATGCCTCAAATCAAATAGTTATGTGAGTTGTCAGAAATTAAATGCAAACATATGCTCAGAATGCAAACTAATTTTGAAGCACCAAATTTTGTAATGGCAGGGAGCAGGTTTTAATGCATTCAGTAAATTTCAATCCCAAATATTGAGTTATGCACAGATTTATGTGGCATAATATGGGATACCAGTCCGTTTGTAGATGTTAGCTTGATTTTTGTTAAAATTATACAGAAAAGTATCCAGAGATATATAGAGGATGTACATACATACAGACAAATAGAAAGAAAGAAAATACTTTGTTTTACTGAATTTGCAGTGGGATATTAGTCACTTGGTATTAAAAAATATAGGAACAGCCAAAATTTTAAGGAACCTTTAATAAATATTTAGCTATCTCTGTTTAATTAATTCCAAACAGCCTCTGACCTGTGGACTTTCAGAGTTGTGAAAATCAGGCTGGTTATTCAAACACCTTTGGGTTAAAATGCTGACTTTTGGAAAAACTTTGGAAATCTGTCTTTGATATTTAAGCCTACTGTGTAAAATGGGAAGGTTAAGTATTAGAGAAGTACAGGGAATAGGCTATTTGTAGCTATGTCATTTACACTCATCCAGAGAACAATGTTTATTATATAAGGAAGGAAAATATATGTAATTGTAAAAGTATATATAATTTATATCATGTGCAGCATTCGTGTTGCAAAAGATTCTCATGATCTGTAGGCAGGTGTGAGAAATTTAGAGACTATCCTGGTGCAATGTCAAAAAAATAGGAATATTTGTCCTTTGTTTTACCTCACAAGCTTTTGAAAGAGATGGAACCCAGTCTGTCTATAATTTGGGGCACTTAAGATCTGATTAGTTTCTGAAAACATTCTGTTCTTGGAAAACTTTATTAAAAGCCACTGATCTGACAGCTAACTGAGGCAATACACACCTACTCAGACTTTCTCTAAGGAGAGATAGATGCCTTCTCAAATTGCAATTGAAATAACTTAGGAATATAATGAATGTAATCACGTTGAGAACACCTTGACCCTCCACCCCTGTGGTGTCTCTCAGACATCTCTGTCTTGTAGGCAGGGTCTGGGGTTTCCAGTGTCTCACCTGAGATCTGTCTGCAAACCCCCAGCCCCAAGGAAGGGCAATTCCAAGTCGTGCCAGTGCAGAAATCCAAACCCTCTGTTCCCCAGCCTGTCACTGCATCCACAGTGCAGAGTGAGAGAGCATCCCTCTGAGACCTGAGGGAGCTGTGATTTGCTCTGGTTTGAGAGACTTTGTGAAAATGTGAGACACTCCTCTTACAGCCCAGCCCCACCTATTGCTCATTCTGCCAGGTCAGACTCATCTGCACTGAGAAGCAGCACAAGGCTCTCTGCATTTCACAAATCCTTTCAGAATTAGATTGACCAGTTGCTGTGCACAGACTCCAGAGAAGCATTTACATGTCTTTTACCTCTCACATCACCAAAGCCTCATTTGAGCTCCACTAAGAGACTTAATTTGTTGGACTGAATTTCATTCCCTAACAACTTCCCCCCCCACATCCAATTAGCACAGTACCACTTGTGACAAAGATAAAGAGAATTCTAATTATCAGCCAGAAAGAAGCTATTCAGGTTGGTTTTTTTGTCTTTTTGTGTTCATGAGTTAGACAACCCCATGAGACTATTAGCATGGACAAAGTTCAGCCACAGGGGCTAAATCAAGCAATAAACATGTATTTGTGGCCAGTGCCTGAGCACTAGCAGAGTTCAAGGGGTGCAGTCAGGTTTCAAATAGCAGTTACATTTTTTTTAACCTTTCAAATAGATACGACTCAGGTGGAATTTTACTCCCTAGGGAGCAATATACTCTCCTGCCCTTTGCTGCTGCTTTTTAGCTTCTCAGTTTTAGTCCACACATGTTCTTCACTTTTTCCTTCAAGGATGTCCATGGCATCAGCCATTAGTGACTGCAGCTGTGGTACCGAGATAAAAATTATCAGTGTGGAATTCACACAGAAATAACTTCTCTAAATACACAGATTAAAACCTAATTAAAAAATCATTTGTACGCTGATGATTTTATTACTCATCTTTCACACAATGAGCACTGCCACCTCATCTTTGCTTCAGCCATTACACTGTATTATTGGGGATATAAAATACTTCACAATGAGAAAAAATCCTCTGGAAAATTTGTACTTAAGCCTATACATTTTAATGTTTATATTTAGTAAAGGAAGGCTTAGGTTGTAAAGAATAAAGGCTCCATATTTTATTCTTTAGCTATCTGAGATATTCTGTGTCATACACGAATGCTTTTTAGTATTTTCTCCCAAGGCTAATGTATCATCATTTAAAGCAGCATGTAAAACCTCACAAGAGGACAACAATAAAGCTGAGATGCTTTTACTGTAGCTGGAAGTATCTAGCTCATTTTCCCTGCTTTTACTATCCTTTTCCTTTGGCAAACCCTTCCCTTCTCCCCATCATTCAGCATAACAGAGCATAAAACCAAGGCTGACAATTTCTAGTGTAAACCATAAAAAGAAGCTGAGGGAAAATACTTGGTAATCTGTCCTTCGTGTTAGAAGGGAAGCTAAAATTCCAGGTAGCTGCAGCACTGCCTCACTGTGGTACCCTTCCAGGTCAGTCACAGCATTGTCTCACCCTGCCCCTTTCCCAAACACCTGGAAACGTTTCAGCAGCTCTTAGTTCAGTAAGAGAGACACAAGGCTCAGATCCTTGAGCAGACTCTTGTGAGCAACCATCAGTATTTAGGGACAAACTGGGAGAAACTGGTATTTAATTCCTGTCACATTGCTGTGCTCTAGTAGGTCTGTTCCAAAGTGTTCCGTTGCTTGATGAGAATGCAAACCATCGGTTTTGGAATCTCTTCCCAAATCCATTACTCATTACAAGGAGTTAGACAATATGAGCATTAGAATTTATGCAGAAGTTGTCTTTTCCCTCAAGAAATTGCCTCTTCCACCTGTACCTAGACAGGGAGCAGTCTAATATGAGAACATAGGTGGTAAAACCCAAAACATCAGCATTTAGGCTCCTCTGTACTCTGTACCTAGACAGGCAGCAGAATATGAGAACATAGGTGGTAAAACCCAAAACATCAGCATTTAGGCTCCTCTGTACAAGAGAAAAAAATGCTGCCCTGAGATTCAGCATTTCCTCAAGTTACCCTACACGTTCATGTATTTGAAGTTAAAATTATTTATCTGCATCCCAGCACTGGATAAAGGATACAGGAATCTTCTTTTGAATCTCTAAAGAAATTTGTTATGCTCAATCCCAGCCTGTTTTCCCTGTGCTTGTGCAGCCATTAAGTTGAATATTGTTGGTCCAAACATTTTATGAAATCTTTTGGGTATTTTTAAGTTGTGCATCAGCATTGATGGAAAAAAAAACCCAAAAAAAAACCCCTATAAATTTCTGCCTCTGACTTCAAGAGTTAACCTGTCAGAAATTTTCAATTGCCATAATTTTATGACATATAATCTCCTTCTATAAATCCAGAATAGACAGAGCCCAGAGATTAAGGGTGTTAAGGGCAGAATGGGCAAAGCACAGCTCCTGCATCAAACCAGGCAGCAGAGGAACTGCTCAGGATGGGGAGGATGTTTCCAGTGCTTTCTTTGGAGTAATTCTCCTGAAGAACTGGCTGGGCAGCACTCACTGGGACAGGGACAGGACACTGGCCTGTCACCCCAAGGGGCTGCTCTGACCAGGCTGCAAATTTCACTGTCTTGGAAAACAAGTGAAAACAAGGAGTCTTTCCAATTAGTTTCACTGATACTGGTACATGCCAGTGAAAAGTGCCCATTTTGTCCTGTGGCTTTAATTTTTATCACCCAAAGTGTTTCACCAGCTCTACTGGCAGATAAAATGTGCAACTGCAAAAGTGGGCAGTTGGCAAACCATAGTAATTCTCCCAAAGAAGATATTTTTTGGAAAATCCCCCACAAGAGAAATGTGGCTTTAAAAAAAAAAGAAAAAGTCCTAATTTGATTTTAAATGAAAATAGATTTTTTCTTTTTTAACAGCCTTTCATCTTGATTTATGGTGTACAAATATGGTGACATTGAAATCATAAACCTTGGAAATATTTTCTTCAGGGTTTTTTTCTCCACTTATATTAATTGTTCAGGCTAACTGAAATTACAGCATCTTTGTTTTCCTAGGGTCTGTGAAAAAATACCGACTTAAAAAGGCCTCAGTTGAGGTTTCCTGTGCCATATCTTAGGACTTTATTTATTTAGTTACAAGAAGACTTACACAGAATAGTTTATAACTGAAATGCCTTTGGGATCCTTGTGAGTTGTACTATTATAAATTCAGTGTCTTTTAAACTTATACAAGTTATTCAGTAAGTGATAATAAACATTTGGCATCTTTAGCCCTTTCTAACTCACACAATTTAACTGCCTTCCTTGGTCATAAAGTCTTATCTCAGTTTTTCCAGTGTAAAGTCAGAATGACCTCAGAGGAATTATTTTAAATTTTTATTAGTCCAATGCTCGGTTAGAACTTGGCCAGCTCAGCTTCCTTCAAGGAAAAGAAACGAGATTTCTCTCAGAAATGTTGGTGAAGAGTGAGGATCACAAGGGGCCAGCGTGGGTGCTGTGGCTCTGCCCCCAGGGACACGGGGCTGCCTCTGGAGTGGCCACTGGGAGATGCTGAATCACACCAGGACAGCCCAGTCCTGCAGATGGCTCATCCTGTGTGGACCCCAGCCAGGTGAGGAGGGGACAGGAGGACGAGCAGGCGAGGATTTCTCCCTGCCCCTTCCCTGGATGACTCAGGAGTGCAGACCCAGCCATGGGCAGCGATGCTCTGAGCTCGGTGCAGCTGGGATGTGCAGGGGAACCAGTCCCTGCTGGCAGAGGAGAAGCCTGTGCCATGTGGGCTGGTGTCACCAGGGAAGATAAAGCCCATTAATCACTCCCTGGTGAAGTTATTCTGCAAGTTCTTGCCTGCAGTCTTGTGCCTTCACACTGTGGTGCCTTAACTTTACTGAAATATTCCAGTTACAAGGAAAACGAGCCTCCATTTGCACAGAGAGAACACAGATATATTTTACAGCTGGGTGGCAGAACAAAGAAAAATAAATGAATTCTGAATTAGTGCAGTGAGTGTAGCTGGTAGAAATTTTCTGTCTTTATGCTTGTGAAAAAGCATTTTTACCTTGTGCTCAGTAAACAAAAAATATGTGTTTCATTGAAAGATTTAAAGCTTGTCACTTAAATGCCCCAGCATGGACCTTTGTCCTGCCCAGTCCTACCCTTAAGAGACTGAAAACCTGTCTTGGGTGGCCTAAAGCCTCTCCAAAAAGCTTTCCAGGGAGGTCAGGTTTATGATTACTACATGACAAGATACAGACAAGAGAGTGAGAGCCTGTGCCCAACGTGCAGTGTACTGAAAATATTGTGCCCTGGAGAAAAACCTATCACTGAAATATGTACCAATAACTCAAGACCCTTTAGTCAGTCTTGAAATGTGGGCCTGCTGAAGTTTAATACCAGAGAACTTGAATCAAAAGGAGAATGTCTTTTAATAACACAGTTTCTTTGCAGTGTCGTTTCCCCTTATCTCGAGCCCAGACTTCAAAGTCTGGCAACAACCTCCTGCAGTTGCAGGCTGCTGCTTCTCTTCCCTAAAGCAAGCTGCTGTGAAGCTTTAATTCTGCAGAGCTTAGGAGCTTTGCAGGACTGCAAACAAATGGCAAGGGACTGGCTTTGGGAAAACCAAGACTTTTTAGTTGGATCATCAAAATTGGACTGTATTTAAATGCAAGAGCTGTGGAGGGACTTTTTCTTCTTTTTTTTTCCCCTAGAATGAAATGCTTAAAATTTACATGTACCTGAGCTCCCTGTTTCCCCCTTCATAAAACCTGACAGCCTCGAGGAAGAGTAATCATGTGGTACTTTCTGATTGCAGCTTATTGATGTGCTATCAGGCCTTTAATGACTCCAGTCCCAGCCCTGCTGGCATCACTGCCCTCCTCTCACAAAGGGAAAACAAAGCATGGCAGGCACACAGGATTATTCAGAGACAAGGAGCAAGTCATGGATGGGAGCAGGAAGGAAACCTTTCCTTCCTTCCTCTGCCCAGCTTTAGCTGGATTGGGCCTGTTTTGCAGCAGGTGGCTTCTGAGGTTAGATAACTTAAAGTAGCACAATCTGAATAATTGCAATCATTTTCCCAGACTGATTTGGGGAGGTTTGGGGGAAAAGAAGAGGTTTTAAAAATATGCCCACAGATGAGTCATGCTGGTTCTATAAAAGTCATCCTTGCAGGTGATCAGCACCTCCTCTGATAAAGCACTGAAGGACGATTTAAAAACTACTTCAGGGCTGCAAAAATGAGTTACGGAGCACATTGCAGTGTGGAGCTCTGGCCCAGCCCTTCCTTCCCTGGCTCCCTTCTTCTAAAGGCCAAAATAGGTGTTAGAAATAAAACCTGACCAGCTCTGCATCCTCCCAAGTGGCTTCCTGCAGGCAGGGATGGTCACCAGCTCAGCCATCACTTGATTCATCACTTGGGGCTGCTCCTCCTCCCTCTGCCAGAGGCCAGGGAGGTTGGTGAAATGGAACCTCTCCATCACACTGGACACCAGCTGTGCTTGCCCAGTTTTCCCAGCAAAAGAAGGGAGGTGAGAGGACAGTCACAGGAAAAAAATCTTGTCCTTTAGCCCTGCACCTGGAGGCTCATCAACCCCTATATTTGTGCTGGTAATGCTAAAAGCAACATGCTATAAGCAATATGATATCCAGCACCTTAAAGATAATGCTGCTGACAATCTCTGAAGAGAGGAAAAAAAAGATAGATTTTCTTGCTACACTCTCTCTAGTAGTAGTAGTAGAAAAATAAATATGCAGTCATAACGTTTGTGAAGGGGGGACAGCAGATAACAAACTTGAATGCAATTTTCTCATTTGGAAAAGGCTTTTCCATAATCCCCTCTATTAAATATTACCTAACATATATGGATTGCTTTAAAGTTTCAGTGAAGAGGTTGAGGAAAGCATGCAGTGTGTCAGCTTACGGTTTGTTTGCAGACTAGGCAAATCCAGAGTTTTCAAATATATAACCTTGAGGGCCTAAAACCTGCAGAGGTGGTCTCTGATCCTCCAGGCAGCCAGGCACATGGTAAATTTTAAGTGTGTGAATACAGAAACTCAGCCAAGTGCTTGCATAAAATCTCAGCACCTGCTGAAGTGTTTGATGGATGGCAGCCTTGCCACCATATTTTCAGAAGTATTCTGATGCCAAAAATGCAAATAAGCACCCTACTGAGATTTTCAAAAGCAATTTGGCCTAGATTCCCGACGAGATGGAGCCATTGCATATCTGAATGCTCAGCCCTTCAGAGTGAAATTTCCATTCATCTAATCAGGGTTTTGAATGCACTTAAGTGCCTGAAATTCCAAGAATTGGCATCAATTTTCAAAACCACTTCCAGTATTTTTAGCAGACCTTTGTTCTGGCAGCTCCATATGGCGGCACCCTGATGCTGCCATTTCCATGCGCTTCAGGTAGGTGATTCCAGGTCCAATCATGAATTGAACACAGTGAAAGGAAAGTTTGGAATGGCATTTATTTTTTCAACAAACTCTGCCCTGTTTTTAAATTGAACCTCTCTTCACAAAGAATCTTCATCATTTGATTTAGTCTTGGTCTTGGTTTTGCAGAAATTTGCACTGGGCAACCATCAAGTGTGAACACGGTTCTTTTATCAAAGCTAAGAATTTAATAACAACTCTGATCTTGCTTTCTATACCTCTTACAGGAACAGTAATGGAAAAAAACCTCCATTTTCTTTAACTTTTAAAAACCACACATAATCCTGGTACAGTTAATTTTACACCTTTTAATCTAATACCTAAGATAATTGTGAAATAAAAGAGTGTGTGCTGGAGACCAGCAGAGTGATGGAGCTGTAATCTGGGAGTTCCAGATGTGAGAGCAACTGTGAGGCAGTGGACTGCCATTTCCATTAGCTGAAGGAGAGAATCAGGCAGTGCCCAGGGAAAAGGAGCTCTGGTCAGCAGTTCTCTGGAGGATTGCAGATAGCTCCATCAGCTGTGTTTGGAGAGGTTAATTGAAACCCAAGCATCACAGAGCAGAGAAGCCAGCACGGTAGGAGATACCTCTTTTGAGAGAAGTGTGCTTTGATTAGTCTATTAATGAAAATGCCAAGAGCTTATTATTCTTCTCAATAAACATAATGCAGGGCTGAATTCCAAAGAGAGCAAACAACTGAAAAGGAAAGGAGAGATAAAAGACAATGATAGCAAAAGGACCATTATGTAAAAATAGTACAAACAAGATAGTTAAGCTTGTGATAATTCAGGTGGAAGGTCTGTGGTGTGTTTTACTCAGAGCAGAAAAGACAATTCTAAGATGGATTTTACAGAATGTGTCAGTGAGATATTTGGTGAAACAAAGGCCTACAACAGCACATAACCTGAGGATCCTGGAGAGTCCTTCCAAACCCATTTTCTCATGAACTGTTAACCCAACTCTAAGAGGGGAGACTGGCACAACCTCCTTACAAACTACATTTATCACTTGAAGAGTCCTTTTCTGAGGACCTGACCTAGTATTACTAGGAGATACCAGCAAGGAGAAAGTTTTCTGTGCTCTCTGATATGTGAAATTATAACTCTGACCCTATCTAGTTAACATGGTGCTGAAGCAAGGGAGAAAATGGAGCTCAGTCTCCACCCAATCCTTGGTCTCTGAAAGCCCCAGGCAGAGCTGTGTGCATTAAAAGAAGGAGAAGCAATCAGTTAATGAGGAAGAAAGAGAGCTCTTATCAACACCAAATAGTCTCAGACATTTGAGATGCAGCAAATGGTTTTTCCCTGCTATTCTTGAAATCCACCCAAACCCTTTCTGTGCAAGCACTAAGAAATGAGAGTGTTGAGTCATCAGCTCAGAAAGCAGGTAACAATCCTCTCTCATCACGCTGTGTCTGTTGGGGGCTTCTCCAGTGATTAAGAAAGTAAAGGCTAAAAGAAAACAATTTTTTCTCTGCTTGACTCTTCAGAAAAATAAAAGGGCAGGCCACGTAGCTCCAGGAAACAAATTTGGCATCTGAGCCAGCACTCACTCTGCGGACACAGCAATGCTGTTTAAATTTAGAGTAGGTTGGAAATAAATAAATAAATGACTGACAAGTGTTTTTTTTTTTTTTGTGGTTTTTTTTTAAGGGATTAGAAGAGGTTGAACATTGTCAGAGGTGGTGTTTCGGTGACAATGAGAAATGCAGAAAGAGAAAGTAAATAACTGTGCTGGCAGGAAGAAAATTTCCACAGGGAGCTGATCCGCATGATGAGAATTACATGAACTGTAGCAGAATTCAAGGGGCTACTAAGCTGCAGTGAAAAACATAATAAAGTGACCTGGCAATCAGATGAAAGCGAAACCAGCCCAGATAGCCACAGTGAAGGTCAAGCAAGCAGCACACTTAAATGGAGACTCAGTGGAAAAGAGGAATTGGGTAGCAAAGGAGCCCAAAATGCAGTACACAGAGCAAGAGTTGTATTCTGGTTAGAATACAGACTTCAATAACAGAATTCAGTAACATATTCAGATAAGAAACAGGTAAATGATGATGCTGTTACTTTCTGGATATATCTCACCCCTACTGACTAGTATTTCAAGGAGAATTTAAAATAAAGTAAAAATAAGCAATTGATGGATTTTCTGTTGAGGACTTAATTCATAATGGGCAGCCTCGCAAGAGGGAGCATTCCCTAGAAAACTTTTTGCTGCACAAATTCCTTTTAAGCTAAAACCAATAAAGGTGTTTATTCCTGGAGGCATCTTTGAAGATCTTCTTCTCTGGGAAGAAAGGAGAGAATGAGGTCCTGCTGCCCGAGGATCATCCCTGTGACATCCTCCCTCTGACCTTGGGATGAAAAAGCACCCACACAAAGCAGATCAGCCTCTGCTGGATGGAGCTTACCTTGGCTCCTGCTAAACGCCCAGCACTAACAGCCAGAACAAAGCTTTCCTTGCAGAAAGGAGCTGCAGAGCATGTGAGAGGAGTGAATCATGTGTCCTTTCATCTATTGAGAACTTCGGCGTGATACCCCCACCTTTTCCTTTTCTCTGTATGCAGGAAAGGAGTCATCCCTTCTGCCACTTCTATTTATAAATAAAGTTAAATTGCTGAGTGCTAAAAAAGAAAAAAATTAAAAGGAAAGCAAAGTTTGGTCAGCCTGGATTTAAAGCAGGATGTGTCATACCCAACACTCAGGGCATGTTTGAGTATCAGCTTAAAGAGCACCACTTTGCAAAAGTCTGGAATGCCCCCCATTAGTACTTGCCTATTGTGAAGACTTTTCAACTGTTTTTCAGCTCAAAAATCTGAATGAAGTTATGCCTTGCGAGCAGCTCTGCAGTGCATTGCAATAACAAGCAGGAAAAACCCATCATAATGTTTCTTTAATGCCCCTGGTATCCTTCAGGAAGTGTGTGTGCTGAAACCTGTCTGTAGCAAATACTTTCCCTCCACTTAAAAAATAGACAACAAAAAAAAAGAGTGAGTTCTGTAAATGCAGGCATCATGCTGTGAATCATGTGGTAGGTTTTGCTCACCTTTATAGTATGGGGAGTCTAATAAACCCCTCTGGCCACTCTTTCTCCTCTTAAGTAGCATCATGTGCCATCAGCATGGGACTACAGCAAGAGAAAGGCAAACTTGGTGTGTATAAAGCAGTGGAAATTACCCCAGTGAAATCACTTAATAGAATAACTGCTTGTCAGTGCTGGCAGTCTTGGCTGGGGTTTGAGTAGCTGCAGGTCTGACCAGCAGACATCTTTTAAGGCAAATAAAATAACCCTTGTGCCAGGGTATTTCTGGGTAGATGAGGTTTATGGCATTTGCCCACCAGCTGCAGATGAGGGGCAGACTGTGACATTCTTTCTCAAATTGCTTCACAATACCCAAATGTCCCCTTGATTTAAATGGAACTGGCTGTTCTTTATGAGAAAAGGGTGAGGGAAGAGAAAATTCACTGCTTTTTAAACCTCTAACTTCACATCATACCAACACTGGGGTGTGTGTATAAAGCACATAATTAACTATAGGGTGTGTGGCTGCACAACTGAGGTGGCAGAATTGCCTTGAATATTAAGTGCTGCCATGGCTTAGTAAGACCTTCTTTAGTCCTGAAATGTTTTTGTTAAAAAAATATCTGATCAGGACAAGAATTTGGATTGTACATTTGCATCTTCAAATGAAAAAGATGACAGAAAGGAATGTTGGTTCTATTAAAAAAACCAAAGATATTCTTTTATCTTAAAGTAAGTTGTAAAGCTTAGGTCCGTAGCTGAAGTTTGTCTTGCAGAAGTTTTAAATTTAGTTTGCATGTGCCAGAAGTAAGATGGAGTCACATTTCTAGCTTAAAGAAAATTTTGGAATAGTTTTAAAGAATCAAAATTGGCCAAGTCTTTCAGCATCATAGAGATGCTATCCTCAGCAGCAGAGCTGCTCTGGTTCTGTGTCTGTGTAATTCCCTTTGTCTTTTGCTCTTTGGCTCTGCTTGAGCCACGTGGTCCTGTTCCTCCAAATTCATTTACAGAGTAGGATAATTTTGCAAAATACAAAAAGATACCCTATTTCAAAGTTTCTTCTCTTCCTGGTACACTTTAGAGACGTACAAGTGTGACAGAACCTTACCTCTAAAAGCTCTGTGTCATACCCAAAGGGAGAATTGTGGACTCAATTATTCTTTTCAAATTGCAGTTTTACCGGGGCTTTTAGAAAGGCCAGGGGTTTATTCTGCAGCCAGCACCCAACCCACTGTCTGTTTGCACTTGTAGCTTCCTGAAGTGCACTGAAGTGCAGTGCCCACAGCAGTAACAGATATTTCACCTTCCCAAAGATGCCACTTCTACCAGCCCACACATCAATAACCCGGGCTTTTGGTCACCCAAAGCCAACAGCACAAGGCTCCAGGAGAGAACTGGAGAGAAGCAGCTGTGTTTCCTTGGGGATGTCTGACCCTTCTCCTGCCTCCCAGCCATGCAGGCACTTTGTGAGCTCCCATTTTGGGAAAGCACTGAGCACCTTCACCTCCCACCAACCCTGTGAGTTCAGGCACTTAGCGTCGTTCCAGCAGCTGCTCTCCGGAGCTAAAGGAGATGGAGCTTCCTCAAATATCCAGCTAATGTTTCTTCCTTGCTAGGGGTTGCTAAGTAGCAGTTTTTGTCAACCTCCTATCTAAGAATATAAATCCTGTGATTTGCTAAGACACTCCTGACGAGAAAATGGCTCCGATTCCCTGAGCTCAGAAAACTCCAACCCGGTTATTGCTGGGGAAAAAGCATTAACATTAGCATTCACAATCTGGGGAGGAGGAGAGGCTTCTTCCTCATATTTTCAGGAGAATAATTTAAGAATTGCATTAAAACAGTCTAGTCTACATGCAAATTTGATTTTTGACCTTTTGTGCTAATCAACAGCCATGCTGCTAAAAAGCTGTGTACATTATTGCAGCAAGTATGGAGTGGAATTAACTAATATACATTGAATGTGGCTGTAGCAGATTTGAAGGTTATTTCACATACTTCCCCACACAGGGATCAGGATCTAAATCATCAGCAATGCTTCAAGGATCAATTATTAACTCTTGATGGAGATCCTGGTGGAATGTGTAGTATACTATCAATATTAAATATAATGGGTAGTTTCGGTGGTTATGCGGACAAGGGATATGATACATTAGACCATAAAAATTTGACAAAATTGCATGTTAAATGACTTAAAATAAACTGGGTACTGTTAAATAATTAGGATTACTTGAAAAAAGTATCTAAACCCCATTTGATCTCAGCTCCTGGTGCAGTTCATGGGGTGTTTCTGGACATGGGAGGAGCATATGCGCAGCATGAAGTACCTGCCTAAAAGCACAACATCATTCCTACACAGAGGATTCTGCCACCACACATCACACACCAAAAAGAAGTTTTTACAGTGGTGCTTCTTATAAAATCCATGACAATGTTTTTCCCCAGTTCTGTCCCCAGATTGTTTTGTTTCTTCTTCCATGGTAGGACTGAAAGGTGCCTTCTGGTCTAGGAAATGAAATAAAAATACCATAGACTGTGTGTTTTTTCACATTCATTTTCTGTAGAGGAAGGTCAGGATGAGGATGAACTGGAGGAGTGAGGAGGATGGGGAGACTTCTCTGGCCAAAGAGAAAAGGGCCTTGAGAAACTCCCCAACCCTCCTCATCCAGCAAGGATTGTGGAGATCATCCTTGAGCTATCCCAGCCTCTAAGCAAGTTGGTGCACCTGAAAATATTGGCAGTTTTCTAGTTACAGACCTTTCCAAGTTTTTTTGTTTCTGAAACCCACAGTCAGTGAGTACTGCTGGGCAGGCAGGCAGAGACTCAACCCTGTCTGGCCATGTGTGAATTCCATGAGGATCTGGAATAGCAAAATGAAGATAATTTCCAGTGTCACATTTCAGCTGTAAGAGAAGCTACTTGGTTTTGGGGGAAAAAAAGAAGGGACTGAAATGGGTTCCAGAAATCTTGCCAGAACTAAAGAGACCAAACCAACCCACCCAGCTCTAACAGAGTTTTGAAAATCCAGACTGTGCAACCTTTTGCATCAACAGCTTAAGTTTTGCTGATGCATAAGATAAAACATGTTCTTCCCATCAATGCACTTTTCAGTGCTGATCATCCAAAGCATTAAGAACTCAACCCTTCAGAACACATCATCCGGATCTTTTAGCTGCAGAAGGAGCTGTTTTGTTGTTCCCTGACTTTGTGAGGTTTCATTTCCTACAGATTTGTGCTTTTGCCATCAGCACCACCAGCACAATCCCAGGTTTCCTGCACGTCCTGTGGGATCTGCCCAGCTGGCACGTGTCAGCTGTGTCCAGAGCGTGAGTGCTGCTGTCACCCCTGTGTGTCACCGACCCCAGCAAGGACAGATGCTCAGAGCACTTGCACAAAGCACCTTTGTGTAGGGAGCTGGACCAGCTCTACCCTCCCTTCCTTTCCCCTGCAGAAAATAAACCCAGATTGAATGTCAGTGTCACTTCTCACAAAGGAGTGCTCTTTTTGCAGGGAGCTCTGCTTTTAAGATGCCAGGCTGTGTGGTCACAGTGACAAATGGAGAACCCCACTCAGCGCTCTCCAGACTTACCCTGACATAAATCAAAGCAAGTGGACCTGATATTTCCCTTGCAGCATATTCTGCTGCTGATGGATTCCCAATTTCGTGACAAACTGCATTGTACACTTGGATTTCGATGTGTATCTGCTCCTTTTCCTTGGCAATAGGAAAACTTTGAAACCAATTCAGACCTTACACTCTAGCAGAACTTAGACTAAAATTGGACAGATATTTGTTGCAGAATAGGAAGGGTATTTAAAATAACATGTTCGTGAGATGCCTGGTATTTCACACCCACTGATAGAATAGGATTTTCTCCTATTTTTAATTTCACCTATGAGAGATTCAGACCTGCAGTTTGAGTGCTCAGTGGTACCACGCTGACAAAGAATTAAACTTGTGGCTTGTGATGGTTTTTTTTTTTTGGTGGGCACTATGATTTTAGATTTTAGATTTTTATTAGATCTGAATAGATAAGTTGAGTAAACATTACAGACTTGGCTGACTTCACCTAAAACTGTTCTGAGTTACCTCAGCATCAAGTGAAGGAAAAGGAGCTGTATCTGCTCTGCCTGAGAGGGCTCTCAGGACAGCCCTGATATGTTTACATATGTTTTTTTCTTTGCCTTTGGTACCATTTAAATCCCAGAAAATTCAGAACCTGTGCTCCGAAAAAAATAAAATTGAAGTAATTCTTTTAACTGATAGATTTTTGTAAAAAAATATATTTGAAAGCAGAACTGGCTCTAGTCTGTCTGCTTTAGAATTGACTAAACCTCTATAGACTGGAATCTTTTATCCCCCCTTTTTTTACCTTCTTCCTTTTTGTTATTGGAAAAGGAGGAGTAAGGAAGTGACTGGTGACACTTTCAGAATCATTCAGTGATTTATGAACACAAACTGAGTTTCAGTGCAACACTTGCACACTTTTGCTGCTTATGTGCTCTTGAAAGTCTCACCCTTGCTGTAAATTGAGGGAGTTTTATTTTATGCTCCTTTTAATGCCAGTACTTTTGTCCCAGGAAATTCTCCACAGTCCCATCAGCAAGTAAATGGAAGACAGGGATTTTACAACTTTCATGATAGATAAATCCTCATTTTCTCTCTTTGAACAAGCCCAAAGCTCCTGCCAGAAATCCAGCACATGGCTGGTCTGCAAGTTGCAAAACATGATCTAGATTTCTACTGGTTTTCTAAAGTTAAACAAGAATGAACAAAACAAGTTTGCACAGTTTTATGGTGAACACTAGGTTTCCTAATTACTATTTGTGTTTTAGAAGGAGATTTTATTTTACTATTTTCTCCAAAGAATCAGGCTGTCTCCTTTTGGAAGCTGGGCAGGGTTAGGGCCATCTGACTGGGGTTTGCAGGAGGTGGGCAGCCCCTCAGCCTTTTGGATGATTGTGATGGAGGTGGCAGTCAGCTACACTCAGTTTGTCTGGCAAAGGTAGAGGCTCTCCACAATCTGACGTGGAAAATGTACTTTTCCCTTCAGGTTTCTCAATCACCAACTCAGAGCCAAGCCTTATCAGGGACAGCTATGTTCCAGGTCAGCATGTTAATGACAAGAAGAAATGTCTTTTATCCCCCTGCCAAAATGTCATGCCCATTCCTCTTGAAGAAAGGCCACGGTCACCAGAATTTGGGCATCTCTTTCCCCCAGGAGAGGCTGTTGGAGCTCACTCTGCCAGGAGGTGACAAGCTAAAGCCCTTGCTCACTCTGGATCCTGCTTGTCTTCAACAGGATAAAGGAAGCCTGGCTCTCTGTTCCCATCCCTGCAGCTGAGGTGCTCCCAAAGGTGGTGGTCAGGCCAGCAGTGCTCTCAGAAGGGAAAGGTGAAGGGAAGAGAAAGGTGAAGGGAAGGGAAAGGTGAAGGCCCTGCTGCAGGGGTGACCATCAGTGGCCACGGAAATCCATGGAGCTGGGAGTGAGCTTGGGTCTCCTGGCCACCACAGCACTCTGCAAAGCTGCCTTTGAACAAGAGATTGGTTGCAATAATGAAATTCAGTCACACGAATGTGGCACTTCATGGGTAAAAAATGTATTTATGGGGACTTGCAGTGTGAAGTCCGTACTTTGCCCTCAGAATTTGATTACCAAAATCATGGACAATCACAGAGTAAATCTCAGATGACAGTTTTCCCCCCAGAAGTGCAGAAATGCCTGAAGCTCAAGCTTCAGACTCTCTAAGCGTCCTTTTAAGACACAATCACAAACAAAGAGTACACAGTGCTCAAGACATCTGCTGTTACCTGTGAATATGAGCTGCATGTAATCAGGGTGCTCTTTAGCAAAGTTTTTATTTGCCTCCTTTATTTTGTCAGCCTTGTCTCCTTTCACAAATGGTGTGTACATAACTGAAAAAGATACTTCTGCAGCCTAAAAAAGGCAAAGAAATGATACATTTCTTGTTGGGTAATGGCTAGTTAAAAAAACCACCAAAAAATCCCCTACATTCTCTGATATTTTCCTTTTAATAATTGCACAGTCATGCAAAGATAACATATTTTGGTCCTGAATATTAATTAGAGAGGAATTTAAATTAGTTCCAGAAAACACTGCCTATCTATACTCAGAAAATCAATTTAATGGGGAAAGAACATTTGTAAACAGTTTTCAGTGCGGCGAGCCTCTGTCTTCAATGAGGAGAAAAGTATTAGCTAAATTATCTCCTAGATGAAAAGAAAGAGTGATTCCATGCTCTTTGAAGGTCACAGCTTTCATCTGATGGTTTTATTCAGTCCTTGGGAGCTGGTTAAAAAACACTAAGCATTCATATTACCCCTTGGGTTGGCACGAATCAGACACTGTGCCTATACGGAATATTAGTCTTAAAATATTGCATTTAAGCACCGTTTGCATTAAGAGCAAAATTCACTCCTGTGCAGAGGGCAACACGAAGCTTATGAACCTTTTCATCCCCTAGAAATGACTCACATGATGCATTGTGCTGGCCTGGTGCAGAGAGGTGGATTTCACACTTGGTGGACCCCAGTGGAGCTGGAGCTGCCAGGAGGAGCTGCCAGCCTGGGAACTGCCTTGCTTGGCATCTTTATCCACCAGAGCCAGGGAGGCTGAGCTGCAGCTCCTCCTGGGCTGGGGTTTGGTTCAGACCACGTTCAGCTCTGCCTTGGCTGCGTCTCCTCCTGTCTTAGGATGGAAATGGGGGTGTGTATTCTATTCCATCTGTCAGAGCTGGGCAGTTCTCCTCTGTTCATGGGGCAGTTTTTTCTTTGTCTCTCCCACAGCCAATCCTCCCTCCAGGAGATCTCTCCTGTCCATGGCCACTGAATGTCCCTGCAGGGCTGATCAAATTCCATCATCCTGTGGGGAGATGCTCCGCCCAGGGGAGGAGCCAAGCATTCCTACCTGGATACAATCTGAGCCTGGAACAGCACAGCAGCCTTTGCCCACTGCATTCCCAGAGGAGCAGCTTTCTCCTGCCCTGCATTCCCAGAGGAAGAGCAGGCCCATCTCCAGCAGCCCTGGAGCTCCAGAGGAAAACTCCAGCCTTGTGCAGGATCCCTGCTCCAGCAGAACCACAGCTGGCACTGCAGGAGGGCTGAGCCCCCATGGGATGGGACTGTGCCACCACCCTGACACACAGGGTGACAGGGCATGCTCTGACTCTGGCAGGGGTTTGTTTTCTTGTCTGTACTATTACATTTATATTTTTAATTTTCCTGGTAAAGAGCTGTTATTCCTATTCCCATATCTCAGCACTAACACAGTTAACAGGGATGGCCAGAAAGGCATGGGAGGAAAGGATATCTGCATTTCAGCGGGGGGTGTGAGTCTCCCAGGACCCCTGAGGTGATTCACAGGGGGTGTCACTGTGGGACCAGCTCTGTGTGTTCCTGACAAGCCCTCCTGGTTGTTCTCCAGTCTATCCCTGACCTGAGTGAATGATCCATGGCGCAGTGTGGCCCTGTGAGTCATCCCTTCAGCTGATGGCTGCTCCCACCATCCCAGGATGGGAGGCTGAGAGTGCCAATTAGTTAAGTATCCATGTCCTTCTCTCTAATGGCTTTAGACAACAGGACTCTGATAGGGTTTTATGCCAGTTTATTTCCATCCTGTTGATTGATACGGGGCGTGCAGAAGTACTGTTACAGTTGGTTTGAGTAGATTTTAGGTTAGGCTGCCACACGTGCACCCTGAGTGCTCTTACACTGATTGCTCTGCCTGGATCTCGAGGGTGTCACTGGGGATTTGTTTATATTTTGGATTTCTATATTTAGCCAGCACATTATCCTGCATGTATTGGAATGGAAGCAGTCTGGAGTGGCCAGTTTAGCCCTGGAGCATTAACAAGCTTTGATGTGTGTAATAGTATCATGGCCACCCGTGGCAATAATAACACTCCACCCAGGTGAGGAGAAGATCCAGCTTTCCATGGGCAGAACCATGTTATCCATGGTTAATGCCACAGATCTGGAGGTATCAGACCAGAAAATAACAAGTGTGTCCTCTTGCCAAGAGCTTGGGGGGACACACGAGGGGATCTGTGCCCATTCCTTCCCGTGGTGAACTTACCAGTCTGCACTGATTTACAGGAAAGTGATTTTAGGTTTTCTTATTTCTGTGGCTTTAATTATCTTGTTGTTCAGGGCCTTTAGAGGATCATGTAGCAAACAGTGCCACCAATCTAACTTTCTAAGACACGTTTTAACAAAAACTTTTCCAAGTTTTTCTGAATTTCACGTGTAAATATAGACATTGAATTAGGTCAGCCTGATTTTGTGTGAGATGTGGGGTATTCTGCTTATTCTCTGTAGGTTGGCAGCCCTTTTCTAATCCGGATTGATGTGAGCATGTGAGTGTGGGTTTGGGTGTATCCACACATTTCAGGTTTAAAATAGGTGGAGTGAGGGAGCGAGGTGAAAAAGCGAGTGGCTGGACCAGGCAAACTCTGCAGTCTGCAAAGTTCACTTTTGGGTTTAGCATCCTCAAGATCACTTCAAAGTCACACTTTGGGATCTCTGCATTGCCTGGTACCTGTGGCTACTCTGCACAGCAAACAGTGAGAAGTTCTGAGGGCAATTATGGTGAAATGTCAGCCAATGAGGAAAAGAACAGATTAATCATTTCTGGTCAATACTGTTACTGAAGGTATTCTTATTATTACCCAAGAGCATTTTCTCCCCAGGCTACTGACTCTGGACATAGACACTATTTGTTTTATTATCTTCTTGGATTTTTATGGGGTAAAGTCTTTAAAGACATAAAACTTCAGCCCATAAAAACTTTGGAGGAGAAAACTTTATATGAGGAAATCCCAGAGGATTTTTCTGCTCACGCCTTTACGTACTGAAATCTGTCACTGTGGATGAATATCTGGCAGCGTGTCCAGGAAGCAGAGATGCCTCCAGAACATTTGTTGTGCTGTGCACATGTCACTCAAGATACAGAAACACCGAGGAGAGGATTGGAAGGGCTCAGTGGACTTCAGGAATTCCTTGCAGAGAGGGTTGGGCAGCTGTTTTTTCCCCATTTGCACGTGTTTTGATGTCCTTGCATCAGAACAGGCCTTTCTACAGTGTCCTGTCAGGTGCAAGAAGGAGGATGTTGCTTTTCTGGCCTCAGAGTGGAAGGAGTGTGAGGCTCTTGTGAGTGTGGGGGAGCTGCTAAGCTGACAAAATGATAAAGAAAGATGATTTTTTTTTTTTAATATCTTGCAACTGAGCTCTGCAGCAAGTCTCATCACGTGGAGCTACACTACAGCCCTTAATTCCAGAAAAGTTAGAAAATATGAAGTCCTTGAGGTGATCTTAAAATATAAGAAAGAGCTCCTCTAGCAAGGTGCAATAATGGATGTAAAGGCTGTGACTGACACGAGGCCACTGAATGTGGTTAACTTCAGCACTGGACAGAATCTATTTCTCCAGCAAAGATGCAAAAACTTGCTTTAAAAGACTCTGCAGAGTAACCTGGTGATGTGGAAGATTTCTTTTTGTAGTTATGGGACTGACTCATGCTCTGCTGTGTCAGGAGGTTTATATCCCTGTTTTGGAAGTGTGGGGAATCAGAGAAATTCTGCAGAGAAACCATATGGAGACAAAGTGTCTCAAGGGGTATTTATATTGTCAGCACTTCTTTAAAATACCAATTAATTCCTTCACGAAGCACAAGCTTGAGGGATGCCTCAGTTACAGGTTTGAGGCATGTACTTTGCTATAGTGAAAAATAAAAAGCAAGAAGACATTCTTAAACAACAAACTTTGGTTTTGATCGAGTTTTAAAACCCATATTTGACCCAGAATTGTCTCATACTCTTCTCTGAGCCTCTTGGCTATGCAATATCCAAGGTTTTCTTCCCTGTGAGGGTGGTGAGGTCCTGGCACAGGGTGCCCAGAGAAGCTGTGGCTGCCCCATCTCTGGAATTGTCCAAGGCAAGGTTGGACAGGGCTTGGAGCTGCCTGGGATAGTGGAAGGGAGTGGAACGAGATTGGATTTAAGGTCCTTTCCAACCCAAACCAGTCTATAATTCTGTGATTCAACACTCACTAAAATTCAGTTAAGAACTCATAAAATGAATAGGTAGATGCAAAAGAAAGGAACCTTCCCTATGCCAGCTTCTGATGGCAAATGATGGAACTGCTTCAATATTTTTATGAAGCTCTTGCCATTTTGCATTAGAGCAGGCATAGAAGAAAAATGGCACTGTAGTGAAAAATTCTTCATAACAGTGAGAGTGGCTTTCCCTGCCACAGTTCCTAACCTTAATCCTCTTTAACTACAGAAAGGTTTAATTTGGAAAATCCAATTATCTTGACATCTAGAATTAGCCAAAAATTTAGATATCTTTCTAGTGCCTTATCTTGCAGCTGCAGTGCACACTCAGTCCCTGTCTCATTTACAGTACAGCAGGAACTGATGCTTTTATTGATGATTTTTATTAATGCAATGGTATCAGACAGGCTAAAGCCATTAGCCTCTTCTATGAACTGCTTCCACTCCTAGGCTGGTAGTTAGAATTATGGGTGCACTGCAGTGCAACCTATGTGCTTTTCTCTATATCTTTCCAACCATAAAAAAGTCTCTGGCAGTCTTGCCACTAAGTCTGTGGCTGTTGTGATATGAATATCTTCTCACCAGCGTGATCCTCTTACAGAACTTTTATTTTATATTTTTTTCTGTGGGGAAAAAAATAAGCAGACAGAATGCCAGAGCACATCCCTTTCTCAATATGTTTGTGGTATGAATAAATCATGTATTGCACAATAGATGAGAACCTTCTGCTTATCTGCCTTGTAATGCCTCCCCATTAATGTAGGTCACATCAAATATCAGCTTATTTGGGGTTTTAAGTTATTAAGGTATTTAAGTCTCTGTGAGTTAGTTTGGATGCAGCATGTTTTGAAAGAGGATTTGTGGAG